CACCACCACCACCACCAGTATATTAATTAGTAGTTTCAAAAACTACAAAGCCTACCTTCCTAGATTGAAAATAACTCATTAACAGCATTTTCGGATTAAAAGAAAAACAATTCAAATCTAAAGCAGCAAATACTTTGTCTACCAGAATACTGGACATGATAGAGAAAAGATCCTTAGATCTGAACAGTCATGTGACAATTGCTAAAATATATGATCCTATTTAAAATGCATTTCAGTATTTTTTTCTATTTGAAACATACGCCAAAAATTGTAGCCTCTTTTATAGCCACCAATACAATAGCCTCTCTTATGGCCACCAAGGGTCCATCTAGTCAAAGCTATGGTTTTTCCAGTAGTCATTGTATGGATGTGAGAGTTGGACTATGAGGAAAGCTGAGTGCTGAAGAAATGATGCTTTTGAACTGCGGTGTTGGAGAAGACTCTTGGAAGTCCCTTGGACTGCAAGGAGATCCAACCAGTCAATCCTAAAGGAAATCAGTCCTGAATATTCATTGGAAGGACTGATGCTAAAGCTGAAACTCCAATACTTTGGCCACCTGATGAGAACTGACTCATTGGAAAAGACCCTGATGCTGGGGAAGATTAAAGGTGGGAGGAGAAGGGGACGAGAGAGGATGAGACGGTTGGATGGCATCACCGACTCAATGGACATGAGTTTGAGTAAGCTCCAGGAGTTAGTGACGGACAGGGAGGACTGGTGTGCTGCGGTTCATGGGGTTGCAAAGAGACAGACACGACAGAGCAACTGAACTGAACTGATAGCCACCAATATTTATTTTTTTAGTACTTTTTTTTGTTTGTTTTGTTTTTATTTTTGGTGGCTGCACAGCATGCAGGATCTTAATTTCCCAATCAGGGATTAAACTTGTGCTCCCTGTAGTGGAAGTGTAGTGTTTTAACTGTTGAACCACCAGGGAAGTCCCAGCCACAATTATCTTTAAATGTATGTTCTGCTTAAAAGAATAATTCTCAAGAGGTACTTCTGCTAACCTGAATCTCAGAATTAAAAAAAAAGAACATGCTATGAAAGCCTACTGACTGTAATTTAAGCTGGTCACCTAAACAGAGATGTCAGCATTAATGTCAGAGGCTCAGAAAACTCACCTCCAACTAACACAGTCTACTTCCTAAATAAAGAAAGCCTTTGGAGAGCTTAATGTATCCTTAACATTAAAATAAAAAAACCCTTAGGACCAGACTCTGGTCATAAAACAAAATAGGAAGGGAGACAGACACTTCCAGGCCCTTTACCAACAGACCTGCCAAGCCCTGCCCAAGCCTTCCCCACGGCGGCCTATTACACCCCAGGTCAGAAGTGGACATACGTACTGTCACAGGTACACTCTTGTCCCTCAGCACATCACCAGCGCACTACTCCCTTCTGGAGAACTTCTCCATGCCACAGACATTCTTCAAAACTGATATTTGCATGTATTTAAAAATACATATTATTTAAATTGGTTTGCATAGGACAACTCTGTCCAAAAAGAGGACAGAGAATGAATAAGTGAAAATCTGTATTCCTGGAAGAAAAACCTAAAGATAACAAAAGACATCTCAGAAGCAGAATTGCAGGAGGAAGCATTAAAATCTTTCAGATAATTCACTAACTGCTCAAGAGTTGACCATCTAAGTTCAGTTCATTACATATTTGAGGTCCTAAGCAATGCAATGCACTGGACCACAGCATGAATACTAAGGCAGAGTCCCAGATCTCAAGAGAGAGTTATCATCTAACTGGAAAAGGGACAAGAAAGTAAACACACAGCTACTGTTAAATAAGATAAAACTGAGAATAAAAGTCAGCAGTCCTTGGAGATTCGGTGGAGGGAAGGAGTCTGCTTGAGTGGGAAATGGAGCAATGAAGAGACGTGGCGTTGAGTGCAGAGGGAGGGGGAGGGTTCAGGGGAAAGCAGCTGAGCTTAAACTACAGAACCAGTTCAACCCCAGCTTCGAGACATCTGTAAGCAGCTGTGACCCTTTGAGGTTTGGGGTAGAGGGGTCCTAAGGACAAAGATATTTAACTGATGATGAAGAGGATAAATAGGAGGCTAAGCCTGACAAAAAGATTACTGGTTAGAAAGGATGGCTCAGACCTAGGGCAATGGCAATCAGTATGCAACGGCATAGGAAGAGATGCAAGTTTGCACATGCTACCAACCAAAAGAGAGGATGAGCAATGTCTAAGCTTCCAGCTTGGGTTATTAAATGAACTGCAGTTTCATTCAACAAATGAAAAAAAATGAATTGGTCTTGTTTTCATCTTTATTTTGGCCACTAGGAAGCTCAGAGCCAAATACACGGCCCATTTCTAACATACAGCAAACATTTATGTATAGCTTGTAAATCTGTATTTTCTTTCTCTTGACAGAATTTTATTTATAAAGTTGCCTCTAATTATTTTAGAATGTGGCAGAAAATAAATCAACAGATAAAAATGATTGAGACCAAGTCAAAGACAGTTGGACAAAGTAGCTGATTCAGAGATATAACTATAGGCTGCCAACTCATAGCATTCTCATCACCTTTCTTCTGCCCTAGGGAAGTCTGGAACCCACAACAGAAGCTAAAAATGCCAGACTTAAAAAAAAAAAAAAGCACCAGACTTTCACCTTCTCCACCTCCCTTACAACTAGTAGTGGCATGATGTCAATTCTACCCAATGAGACTAAAAAGAAAGTCTCCAAGGTGACCTTCCAGAAAAGATTCTCTGTAAGGGAGGGAACTATAAGGGAATATGCTGCTTTCATCCTTTTCTTACATAGGCATGATGTCTGGTGCTACAGCAACCACATTGCAAACATGAGGCAATGAGCCTAAGGCTCCTGATAAACCAAAATACTAAGAATAAAGGGAAAAAGTATACAAAGAGCCTAGATTCTTAAAAAACATACTGAGACTCTGTACCAGCCTTAGAACCATCCATCTCTAAACTTCTTGCTACTGAACAAAAATAAGCTCTATCACTTAAGCCACTTTTGATTGAGTATTTATCTGCCAGAGGCATCCTAAATCATATAACAAAAGTTATCATGAGGTCAGTTTCTGAAGCCATTATTTTTTTACACTGCTAACTACACAAGACTATTATTATTGAGATGAGAGCAATGCAAACATATATGATAGGAAAAAAGCAATCAATAAGCATTTCTGGGAGCAGTTAAAGAGAAATGGATATAATGATAAATAACATTTGAAAAAATATGATCAAGTGCTAATAGGGGTACTTCTTGGAAGCAAGAAGAGAGGAAGAAAAAACAAAAGTACAGAAATTCTCAGAAGTGGAAAATGTGAGCTCAGTTGTGTCCTACTCTTTGCAACCCCACAGACTGTGGCCCACCAGGCTCCTCTGTCCATGGGATTTTTCAGACAAGAATACTGGAGCAGGTTACCATTTTCTCTTCCAAGGGAGAAATGAGGGGCTCTTTCTTTCCTGGCAATATTACTGGTAAAACAACCTGAAAATTTTCCCACTATAGAGCTTTCTCTACTTACGATGGGGTTATGCCCTGAGTAAATCCACTATTTAACTGAGACTATCCTATGTCAAAAACACATTTAATAAACCTAACCTACAGATAACAGCTTAGCCTAGCCCATCCTAAACATGTTCAGAACTCTTATGTTAACACATAGCTAAAAAATTATCTCACTTCAAGCCTATTTTATAGCAAAATATTGACTATCTCAGGTAATTTTTTTTTTTTTTTTGCCATGCTCTGTGGCATGTAGGATCTTAATTCCCCCACCAGGGATGGAATCAGTGCTCTCAGCATTGGGAGCGCAGAGTCTTAACTGCTGGACCACCAGGGAAGCCCCCTCAGGTAATTTACTGAAAACTGTATTGAAAGTGAAAAACAGGATGGTTGTCTGGGTACAAAATGGTTATAAGTATACTGGTTGTTTACCCTCCTGATTACGTGTCTGACTGGGAGCTGCTGAGGCCGCCGCTCTAGCGTCAGGAGAATATAATACCATACATCACTAACCTGAGAAAAGATCAAAATCCAAAATTCAAGGTACAGTTTTTATCAAATGCATATTGATTGAGCACTACTGTAAAGTCAAACTATCCTTAAGTTGGAACCATCTGCTTGAAACAGCCACAAAAGTTCTGGGTAAAGTTTAAGAAACATCTGTTTAAATGCATAAGTAAGCTCATAAGAAAATAAAACCACCTCCCCAAAGGCCAAAAATCAAAGAGGAACCTAAAAACCATAGCAGAAAGGAGCTATGATAGTAATGTATAGGAACCCGGGGTTTGAGGGCTAGGGAAGAGAGAGTGTCACGTATCTATAGGGCACCTGCCCTTTAGGATGAAACTGAAAAAAGAGAAAAGGGAACAAAATGACTGGCCTAATATTTTTTTAAAAAAACACCACCTTAAAGACAATTACAGCTCCTGTTTTCAACTTCATACACTTCACCCTTTACAAGAGCAAATTTCATGACACACGCACGTTTAGAAAAAAAAAGGAAAACATAACCAGGTTGAATATTTACATATCACAAAGGAGTTCCTGGATATGTCACCATAAGCTTAAGTAAAATATAAAACAGATATAAATCTTTTCCTGATAAAATCACACACTGCCCAATTTTTCAGCCATTATGAAACGAACCATGTGAGTTCACTGAGTCAAGCACTCAAGTTCAGTTTATTTGTAACCATACTAGACAGTTTCCAAGTCTTTGGACTTCTTGGTAAAATTTTTATCATCAGGGTCATCACAATACTCTTCTAGTGACCATGCTACCAATGGTTTCATAATACCTTATACATCACATTAAAAAACTCCTGTCATTTCTGAGCTAACCTGATAGCCCTCCACATTACACGTTTTGGAGTCGTCATCGCATATAAATGGTAAAGGGAACTGGCAAAGGATGTGTGTCTGCAGAGTCTACAGGCTGAAAGGATGGTTTCCAACACTAAAGAAAAACACACGAAAACCTAAGGTTCCCTCCACTGAGTTTACCTTCCTCTAGTCTCATTTGCCTTCCATGCGTCTTTGAAAACCGAAGACATCATATTCCCTTTGTTCATCTTCACATTTTCACGCTGGCTTAAATAAATGAGATCATTTTCACCGCAATTCCATTAAGCCACCTCCAGCTCTCAATTGGTGGCCCAGTGGTAAAGAATATGCCTGCCACTGCAGAAGACGCAAGAGACCTGAGTTCGATCCCTGGGTCAGGAAGATCCTCTGGAGTAGAACTGGCAACCCACTCCAGTATTCTTGCCTGGGAAATCCCATGGACAAAGGAGCCTGGCGGGTTATAGTCTACGGGATCACCAATGAGTCAGACAGGACTGAAGCGACAGAGCACACACACGTACGCGCACACACTAAATTCAAGACCATCTTTCCCCCAAAAGTCCCCTTATCCTTTGGCAATCCAAACGGCCCAAGAACTGCAAACATAATTTATACTATCTTCACAAGGTTTTTACGTGTCTCCACTGCATTCCTAGATTTAACTAAGACGGAACCTTTTAACCTGATGTTTATACACACAGGAAGCCACAAATATACACTATTCTAAACGCTACTTTAAACTGCGTCGCATCTTCAATGTTTTTCCACAACCTATGCACTAAATGGTTGAAGACTAAGCATTTATTCTACAAGTAAGGGCACCAAATGCAAGTGAGAAATATTCAACTTGGAGATGAAGAACCCAAGTGTGAAGAGACTGCGCTTGGCTTGGTTCTCGCCCCCCCCGCTGACACGGGGAGAAGGGCCCAGGGGACAGGGGCGCCTCACTGGGGCGCGCTAGGGTCCGCGGGGAATAAAGCCCGAGTTAGATCTAGGAGCTGGGAGGCTCCGAGGGGCGCGCTGCATTCTGGGACTCGTTTCCACAGTTACCCACGTGCACCCAACCCAACCGCGGTCCGGACTACAAGTCCCAGCATTCCGCGGGACCGCCTTTCCCCTTCACACCCGGCGACTGGTGCCAGACCCTAAAGGAAACCCCTAAAGCGCCCTCTCCGAACCGCTGGAAGAGGTCGCGCCCCGCGGGCGCTGCGCTGGGTTTGTGGTCCGGCCCTCCCGGCAGGGAAGCGGATCCCGAAGCACCAGCCTCCACACCTGACGATCAGAAATTAGACAACTGCGTCACAGACGGCCAAATTTCCCCCCTTATACCCCGAAGCTCAAGGCAACCCTTCAAGGGACCCAGCCTGAATCCAGGGAAGGATACACCTCCCCCAAACACATAGTCCGACACCTTCCCCTCCCCGAGCCCCGCGCGGACAGAATCTGGACAAGACAGTGTTCCCCCTGCCCCGGCCCCTCCCAACCTCCCTTCCCTCACAACTAGCTCTTCACCGTCACAGCACCTCCTCTACCCCTGCCCCCATCCTGTCACCCCAAACCACGTTCTGCCTCTCCTCTCACTCCCGATTTCCTTATGTTCCCAACACCTGCTCCATCCTATTACCCCAACGTCGGCCCCTCTCACCACTCCCAGTTCTACCCCTCCACGCTTCCTTTGGCCCTCCTGCTCGCCGGACTCCCCAACTATCCCATCACACCCCAATCCCTCCCACCATCTCGCTTTCCCATTACATCAGCCCTCATCTCCTCGCCTGCCCTCCTGCCCCGCACGGCCGCTGCCCCCAATCCTCCACCCCATTGTTCCCCCCACCCCCGCCATCCAGCCCTTCTTCCCATTGTCCCCGCCCCCGCGCTCCCCTAGCACTCACCCGCCTTTCTCACGGAGCCGCCCGCACCGCTCAGCCCCTAGGAAATCCTCACCCCTGCGCCCCGCTCGCTCGCTCGCTCGCTCCCTCTCTCCCCCCGTCGGTGCCAACCCCCAACCCTGCTCGCTAGCGCCCGCCGCCGCCTCCACCTCCATTCACCCGGGACACTCTGGTCCCGGCCCTTCATCGCACGTCCCGCCCCCCCCTTCCCCCAACACTGAAATNGCGCCTCGTCCCCGTACCGCCCCTGGCGGGGTCCATGCTCCCGGATAGCAGGTTGGACCTTGCCGCTGTCACTCAGCCCCGGGGGTCCAAAAGCGCGTGTAGGGGCGAGGCTGGGGAATTGGTCCACCTTGACCCTGGAGCCCCGCCCTCTGGTGGGCAGGACTGGTGGAGCTGTAGACCAACCAAGAAAGATGGGTCGGCGTCTGAAACAAAGCAAACGAAGTGTTTCCCAAAGAACCGAGGAGGGGAAGAGCTGTTGGTGCGGCTTGTTCCCGCTGCACTGAGTAGGGGAACCAGCTCTTCCCCGCTGACTCGACGCGTCAGAGTCTCCTGCTTGTCTCTCAGACCTCCGAGCGGCTCTCTACGGGAGCCCAGTCCGCGACGAAGTTGGACTGGGACTTCTCTTGCTGGCCGTGTCTTGCAGCTAGAGACTGGTAAAGAATCGCCGCGTCTTTATTTCCAGCAAACCCTCTAGTGAGGAACAAATTTTTTCTTGCACAAGTCACAACAATCCATTCTGTCCTCATTTTCGAAATGCAGTTCTTTTCCAGCGACAACCCATTTCCTCCTCCTTCGTCACAAATGGGCTGTTCTAAAGGCTTCGACTGCTGCATGGGCGGTGATACACATTTGTGCGCCCGCAGACCACACGCAGGAAACCAAGGGCCACTTTCTGAGCTTCGGCCTCAGGCTGGCACCTGAGCAAGTCCAGGGCTCAGGTCACCAGCCTTCGAAGGACAATAAGCGTCAGCTAAGTGAACCTAAGTCAATGACGGCAAGAAGCGGTCCAGAAAACTGTTACCCGGCTGTTATTTGGCAGAGGAAGGCGTTAGTTTAGATGACTTCTTCAGACCCTTGAGTTTCCTCAGTCAAGAATTCTCACCATTTTCCAGAGTTCCGACGAGTTTTTCGCAAGGCTTTCAAACCAACTCATCACACTCACCGTATTATTGTAGCGGAATAATATTTTGAGATATTAGTGGAGGACCGCCTCTCCTATCCTAGCCGCAACACACAAACAGCACTTCTCTGGGTGCCGAGGCCTTGCCCCATCCTGCAGCTAGGCCCTTCCACCCTCCCGCCTTAGAGAATGGAAGACACTAAAAACAGCTGGTAACAAATGAGTCGTTTTGGTTTTAGCCTTATACAGCCGAAGCTTTTGAGTTTCAGGGTTCTGAAATTTATGTTTCAAATCAGGGCGTAAGTATTAAGGCCAAAAACAGCATATTTGAAAGAACAAAATGAAACCAGTTCCTCCATCCCACACCACTCCCCTTGTAATATACTCCATCTTTCTTAATCCCTAATGTCTCATTTTGTGTCTATCTATCATGCTTCTATCATTCAAATACTTATGAATCACTCCATCTAGCCATACATTCTCAGAATTGAACCTGAATTTATCCACCTAAGGTTCAATTCAGACAAGATAAGAATCTCATCAGTGGTAACCTTTGACCTAACAGAGTATCAGCTGGGCCCTGCCGAGATGGGTAGGTACCTCTGGACTCTGAAATAGACATCCTTTTGGGGCAGATCTAATTGTAAGAACGTCTGTCCTTAGCCTGAGCAGAGAAACTTCTGCATTCTTTATACCATTTGTGTTTTCAACTTACTCTACACATCTAAGAAATAGTTCATCCAAGTTTATAATATGTTGAATATGTGATATTTGCATGGCTTTTTACTGCTTATCATGGTACTTCAAGGGCTGAGACACATGTTTTTTTGCACAAAAATGGACTTGTTACTTGTCACCTCTAAATTAAAATGAGAGCAGAATTAATTTGTTGTAGGTAGTCATTTGCTATATCAATTTATTTGCAGCCAATAATAATGTATTGATATATTAATATTAATCTACATGAGGTGCCTGCCAGCTGCTTTGCCCCAACACCCAACATTTTCCTCTGACACATGCTGTCCATAAAATGTACAGAATATACAAACCTTTGTTGTATTCCAGCATCACTTTCAGTCGGGTCCATATGATTATTTTTAAAGAAAAAACAGATCTAGAGAGTAATTTACACAGATGTTTATAGTGAGTCAGCTGTAGCCTGAGGATTAGCAGGCAAAGCTCACAGTCTGCTAAGCCTCTCTGGCCCACAAATTTTATGAATAATAAAACAGATATAATGAAGTGACTGCATAGTGGAAGTGTTGCTTACTCGTGTACGAATCTTTGTGACTCCAGGGACTGTAGCCCGCTACACTCCTCTGTCTGTGGGATTCTCCAGGCAAGAATACTGGAGTAGGTAGCCATTCCCTTCTCCAGGGTATGTTCCTGGCCCAGGGATCGAACCCAGGTCTTGATCATTGCAAGCCAACTCTTTACTATCTGAGCCACCAGGGAAGCCCAAGTGACTGCATAATATTCTGCATATATTACCCTGTCATTTTAACAATCCCCAAGATTGTAAACCTTCGAGGGTAGGAAGCTTGTTTTTAATCTTTGTGTCCCCAGCACCAACTACAGTGCATTCAGAGTGGGCACTAATTAACTCTTCCTCAGAGTGAACTGCACGGTGACTCTAAGGTGTAATTTTAGATGTGGAAGGAGCCCTGCAGATGATCAAATCCAACTTCCTCATTTAAGAATATGAGGCTTGAGGTCCAAAAGAATTAAACATATAGTCCAAGTCATTCAGTTAGTTAATAGCATTAAACTCCAGTATCCCAACTCCTAAACCAGGTCTTTTCTTAAACCACACTGTCTAATAGCAAATCTTCAAATTCCAAAGATGGATAAACTAGTCTCCTTTTCCATTAGAAAGTTATCAGTCTACCTCAAATTCTGTACTTAAGAGTTAGAATATTGCCTTCTTTTTTATGAAGTTCCGTAAGGAATTTTTTAAATATATAATACATTTCCACTTTTTCTCATTGGTAGCATTCCCAAATCACTCAATTCCTGTGGAGATGTTTACTGAGATAATAATGTTATTCTGTGCATTTATATTCATGTCCTTAGAGAACCACAGTCTTGGGACTGTGGTGGGTAGAGATACTTGGGAATGTAGTCTCTGCCATTTTGCTTCACCCAATTACTGCTTTATGGTAATATTAAAGCAAGTTACTTTGTTTCAAATGATAATTTAACTGGAATTTTTCTATTTTATTTGTTGTACAACATTAATTTTAATCAGCTTCTTTACCATCTGAGCCACCAGGGAAGCCTCCTTAATTTTAATCATTTTTTTTTTTAAATACCTTAAGCCTAGATTGAAATTTGGTATGGAAAAGTCT